GCCTGACTGCTATAGAGACGAAAGGAGAAATCCGTCCTTGGAGCTGGCTGCGAAGAACTGGAATATTAGTCCTCCTTTGCACTCAGGCATGGAAACCACAGTGACTCGGGGAAGCATCTATGGTTTTGATCTGCAGGCAACGGCTCTTCCCAGGATATTCTATCCTCAGGGTGTGCTGGATGGGGATGGACAGTGGCTCCGGGGATGGAAAAGAAGTTTTAATGCGGGGAGGGAGCACAAAACCCGGCATAAGTCCTCACTCGGCAGATCTGAATTCCCAACGGAAACACCGAGAAAGGGATTTTGGAAACTGAAATTGCTCAGGCTGCAGAAATGCAGGTAGAATCTTCCTTTAGGAACACTGTGTTCTGACATACGAGGAGCTGAGCAGAATGTGTTGCTGTAGCGTTTTTCTAGTGCTGAGTTGTAAATCCGAGTAAACAGAACAGTGTTTTGGTCATTTTAAGCTACCTGTTTAGGATAAAAATGTTGTCACTGAACTAAGAAATGAGAAGCCTTGAAGCACCACTATATGCTCAAGGAAAGAAGTGAATTCTCTGACACATTTATGCAAATTACATTCTTATTATGGTTATAGTTCCTTAGTTTGCCCTAAAATACAGTGTGTCTTTGTCTGGCAGTATGCAAACTTATTTTTTCTTTATTCATACACTTCTACTTTGTTTTTGTGACCCAACAGAAAACACCAGCATTAGCTCTTCAGAGCTGCACGGTAAGTGACCCTCTTTATTCTGCATTTCTCTAAAATCTGAGGTAATACGAACTTCAGTCAAAGAGCAGCATCTTCTGATGTGCAAAGATACTATTGCTCCCAAGAACTCCAGAGAAGGATCACTGTTTATTTTACACTCTTCCAGACTTGAAGCTGAAAATCACCATTTTCCTTCTGAAATGAGTGCAGTAACAATTACTGACTGGGTTACTGCAGTCAAGGTAGGAAGTGTCTGTGGAAGGTCTTCTGTGTTTGCTGTGCAGTGGTGCCAAATACTAGGTTAAGCAGAAGAAAATACACATTCCTCTCTCGGAGATACCAAGAGCTGAACAAAGGGGCACAAAGCAAGTGAATTCCAGGCGTGACAGTTATTTTTGCATGGCACAAATAAGGAGAAGAGCCACTTTTTCAACATATCTACTGCTGTGCTTGGCCTATGGTTGGTTGTACATCAAGCTTCTGTGCCGGTGATAATGATTGCAACTTGAGGGATGGACACGTCCCTGGAATGGAAGAAATAAACAGCTGAGATGCCCTTTGATATAAGTTAGTCTTCTAAATCCTATCACGCTTCCAAGTCAAGAGACTGCAAGAGAAAATCATCAAAAATGGCTGCAACTGTTCAAGATCCTTTAGGAGTTAAAATTCTGGGGAATCCTAACGTCAACCCTAGTTTTTTCCACTTTTTTTCCCCTACTGAAAAAGTAATGAAGTTTTAATTTTAAAACAAAAGAAGGTATCATCGAATTTCTAGGACTTGACCTCGTGAGTATTGTTTGACAGCGTCAACCCTTTTCACTAGTAAAAATAAGGGGAAAACATCTAGGAAATTAAAGGAAAGGGGCTAAACCCAAGGAGATTAGGATACTTTATATACATATATATAGCGTCGTTCCTTTTAAAGTAAAATCTGAATTAAAATTGTTTGAACCAAAATAAGTAGTGCAAGTTGTGTTTTGCTTTCTCGTCCACTTTTTAAGTCTCTAAGAGGAGAGCTGGGCTCGGAGGCGGCTGTGCATTCGCCGTTGGGTCCGCAGAAGCAGACGAGGTGTAAATCGACCTTCAGAACCAGCGATGACTGCCTGACCCTGAGGTTTTTAGTCGGTCTTTGGCACGGATCCTGCCTCACACTACCAGACCGTGTTCAGAACCCCTCGGTCTTCCCTCCCACCTCCTTTTCCCCGCGGTTGTTCCTTACTGGTCCGCTCTTGACCTTTTCCTCTTAGCGAGTTTGATTCTGTCTCTAATCATCTATAATAAGCTTTGCGTCTTCCTAGAACCCACCTCAAACATCTCTCAATCTGTTTGTTCTTTCCTATGAGACACTTTCTGATAATCCATGAAGATCATTAGAACCTTTTAATTTCCCTTTGTCGTTTACAAAGTTTCTTGTTGAACCTCTGGAGTATACACTTCAATGTTTCCTTTAATGGGCCATCAATTAGTGTAATTAGATCCCTGTTGTCTCTGTTAGCCCCTCGTTAGCATTTGTATATCTGGAGGCTTAATTTATCAGCTCTGCTGTTTGTTTCCTTGCCTTTTGTGTTAGCTTCTTGTTGTCCTTAGGTAAGTCCAGGTGTTCAGGTTTGACTCTGACCTTTGAAGTATTCCTAAGCCTGTGAGGTAACATTACAGGAGAAATTACTTCGTACCTCCAAAACATGAAAACGTTTTGCAGCATTTGGCTGTTTGTGTACGGCTGAGGATATTTTTCAGGAATGTGTTACATAGTGACACACCTTATCATGGGTGCAAGGATCAGCAGGGAAGGAAACTTGTCAAATAAGAAGAAAAACGCTTTTCACGCAGAAAAGCGTAAAAGTTGTTCGTCCTTTGGGCGAGGTGTGATACCCGAGAAGTAGACAGTAATAGGATGATGTGTCCTAGGACAGCATTATGATACTAAGATTCCCATTTTCAGTATCCTCTCTGACCCGCCTCACTTGTTAATTGTTCTGTGCTGATTAACAAGTGGAGAAGAGAAGGAAAATCTCACAATACATCCTCTGGAAGTGGATCTTCCGATGTCTACACACCAGAGAGGCAAAACAAAACTGTGTATGAAGAGTTCGCCACTGCCAGCTGGAAAGGGATACCCAGGGCAGCGGAGAGAGCATTTACACCGCACCTTTTGGCTTCGCTTTGGTACACAGAGTGGAGATTCCAGCAGCAACCCCCGAAACAGCAGCGCTGCCCCCACAGAGAGGGAATATTCTCCCTTCCGACGCTGGGTGGGGATGTTGGCCAAGGAGCGGCGCGATCCTCCATCCGCCCCGGGTTTGTAGGCACAGCGAGACAAAAAAACCGTGGGAGCTGCTCGAGAAGGGCGGTGAGGCACGGACTAGGGCTGCTCGGGGTCTTCCAGACACCCTTACCCCTGGATTCCTGGCAAAAGCCGCTCTGCTTTGGACGCTGCTTAAAAATGCTGGGAGCCGCGGAGGAAGATGGATGGCTTTTCTGGAGAGTGAAGGCGTGTGGGAGACAGATCGGAGACAGCAAGAGGCAAGTGATCTTGTTTATTCTATGCGTTTGCGTGTGTCAGAGCGGGGCTGAAACCCTCCGCTACTCTCTGTCGGAGGAAATGGAGAGGGACTCCTTTGTCGCCAACATTGCAAAGGACTTGGGGGTTCCTCTGAGCCAGCTTGCTGCTCGCAAGGCCCGGGTTGTGTCCGAGGGGAACGAGCAGTTTTTCCGTCTCAATCAAAACACCGGAGTCCTGACAGCAAAGGAGTCGCTGGATCGAGAGGAGATCTGTCCGCAGAGCGAAACCTGCACTCTCGTCTTTAAGATATTCTTTGAAAATCCGTTGCAGCTGATCCGAGGGGAGGTGGAGATTCGTGACATAAACGACAACTCCCCTGTGTTCCCGGAGAAGGAGATGGTTTTAAAAATTCTCGAAACAACACCTCCTGGGTCCCGTTTCCCCCTGGAAAGCGCCCAGGACAAGGACGTGGGCAGTAACGGTTTGCAGAACTACAGCCTCGAGTCCAATCCTCATTTCTCCCTCGCTATCGGAACGGGGAAAGACGGAGGAAAATACGCGGAGCTTGTTCTACAGAGTCAGCTGGATCGGGAAGAGCAGGGGGAGCTGAATTTATTTCTCACCATCACACACCGCCACAGACGGGGGCTCGCCACCAAGATCGGGCACGGCTCAGGTCCGGATCGTGGTGATGGATGTCAATGACAATATCCCGAGCTTCGAGCGGGAGGTCTACGAGGCGCGTCTGGCTGAGAACAGCCCCCCGGAGCAGCTGGTGGTCAGAGTCACGGCCGCGGACCCTGACGAAGGGCCCAATGGGGAAGTGCGCTACACCTTCACCCAGACATCGGAGCGATCCCGGCAGCTCTTCCAGCTGAACCCGACCACCGGCGAGATACGGGTCGCGGGCAACCTGGATTTCGAGGAAGCGAAAAACCACAAGATGGTGGTGAAAGCCACCGACGGCGGGGGACTGTCTGCGCACTGCAAAGTGCAGGTGGAGGTCCTGGACGTGAATGACAACGCCCCGGAGACAGCGCTCACCTCCCTCACAGCCTCCATTCCCGAGGACGCCCCGCCACGCACTGTGGTGGCTCTGTTCAGTGTGCGGGACCGGGACTCCGGCGACAACGGCAGGACAGAGTGCTCGATGGACGAGGACTTGCCCTTCAGTCTCACCCCCACATTTGATAATTACTACGAGCTGAGAACAAACGCGGCGCTGGACAGGGAGAGGACAGCGGAGTATAACATCACTATCACAGCCGTGGACTGGGGCGCCAAGCGGCTGAGCTCCCAGGAAAGCATCTTCGTCCAGATCTCGGATGTGAACGACAATCCCCCAGAGTTCACTCAGGAGGTTTACACGATGTCGGTCACGGAAAACAGCAGCCCCATG